GGGAAGGGCCTTCCAGACAGGGGAAGGGTGCAGAGGTGAGACGGGAAGGGCCTTGCAGGCAGGGGAAGGGTGCAGGGTGAGCAGCAGCCTGAGCGAACCTGGAGTGCTCAGTGAGGAATGATGAGACCACACCCTGGAGGGCCTTCTGGGCCCCTCTCAGGAATCGCATCTCTATCCCTCCGTGCTGGGGACGCCCAGGCAAAGGTTTTATAAGGGGAGGAATCTGCCAGGTGTAGATTTTCAAAACATAATTTTGGAAGTGGTATAGGACTCACTCCAAAGCAAAATTTAAAAAAAAAAACACAAATAATTCATTAATCTGGCTATTTTTTCTAATCTGTGATGGCAAGTGGCATGATCCCTTGTAATTGATCAAGTGTTTATTTTTAACAATTGAAATGTAATCTGTCATCGTTTTGTAGATGGGAATTTCTTAGCCATAGGCTCCCACGACAACTGTATTTACATATACGGAGTCAGTGACAACGGGAGGAAGTACACGCGAGTTGGCAAGTGCTCGGTAAGCGCACATATCATGTCTCACGGACACGTGTGTCGTCCTCTAATTACGTCAGTATAGTGTGCGTCAGGAGGTTTATAAGCTGAGTGAGGCTCATACGCTGCTTCTCTCTCTCAGGGTCATTCCAGCTTCATTACTCACCTGGACTGGTCTGTAAACTCACAGTTCCTCGTGTCCAATTCCGGAGACTATGAAATCCTCTACTGTGAGTAGCACCCAGGAGTACGTTTACTCTGACACCAAAACAGGGCCTTCTGCAAAAACACTTCCCATACAGCTTGGGCCTCAGTTTCCTTCTCTATAAAATAGAGGAGTCTGGCTGGATAACCCCTCGAGTCCTACCTAACACTGAGACTCTTGGATTTCAGGCCAAGCGTGATCCCCTGTTGAGGAGATGCGGGCCCCGAGGAAGAGAAGGCCAAACTCTGCCAAGAGGGGCTGGAGTGGGGCAGATGTAGCAGAAGAGAGAGGGGTCAGAGCCATCACAGCGAGAGGGCCCTGGTGGGAACATCATCCCCAGCAGGCAGACCATAAAGTTTCTCTCAGCCCTCTGGGACCCCTTCTCCTTCTCTTCCAACCCCTCCGGCCAGTGTCTGTGCCCAGGCAGGACCTGGGAACAGTGAGGATGATAATGGCTGGCACTTGCTGAGCATATACGACACAGCGTGCTTGGGTTCCTCAAGCACTTGCCAAGCACCCACCACGTGCCCAGCTCTGGCCTGAGAACGGGATCCCAGGGCATGAGAGGGCCTGGTCTCCGCCCTGCTGGAAGGTACTAAAAAGTGCAGCGTCCTTACATACATCTCACGTGATCCACAGCACTTTCAGGTGCCTCATTTTATAGACAAGGAAGTCTGGGCTCAGATACGAGGCCGCAGCATCAAGAGCCATTGGGTGGGGAGGCGGTCGCCCACTTGTGAAGGAGCCGGGGTCAGGCAGGGCAGCTGGTGGGCAGGGAGGGGGGGGCATGGCCTGTGCCAGGGCCACGCCTCCCTACTGGCTAGCGGTCTGTGGTCTCCTCTCCCTGCCCTTGCCAAGGTCCTGCTTAACATGAGGCAAAAATGGGGGTGAGGGCATGGGGGGGTTTCAGGGACAGGCCCTGGGTCTAGAATCTTCTCAGATACAGTCTCATACTCCACTAATGAGAGTTCATTTGGGGAACAAAGCACCTGGGAGGCCATAGGTACTTGATCTGACTGGTTTCCATAAGCTTCCATTTCTAACTCGAAGTTGAAGGGATTGGGGTGTGTGCACACACGTGTATGTTGGGGGAGAAGCCTGGGGAGCCAGGCAGCAGGGGGCTGAGTTGTGTTCAGGGGCTCCAGGGGGACAGCGAGTGGGTGGAGGCCTAGGAACCAGAGCATGGTCAAAGGAAAAAGAAGCCAGACTGGGGAAACAGACCCAGAGAGGGAGCTGGGAGGAGAGGGAAGAGGTGGGCCCCACCCAGGCCCTGGGGCTGGGCTCAGCTCCCACGGGGCTGGGACGAGGACAGTGTCCCACTCCTGAGGGCCCTGTAGCAGAGGAGGCCTGGCCCTGAGGGCCCAGCCCTGCCCAGGGAGGAGCGGAGGCTTTGGCTCAGAAGTCACCAGAGCTGTATTTGCTTTTCCCAGGGGTTCCCTCTGCTTGCAAGCAAGTCGTCAGCGTGGAAAGTACGAGAGACATCGAGTGGGCTACGTATACCTGCACTTTGGGATTCCATGTCTTTGGTAAGTTTTCTGCAGCTATCTGTCGGTTCAAGCGTTAGGTGTGTCTACTTGTAGAATGTTTCTCTAATAGTTAGCAGGTCTCATGGACACCAGCCTGTTACTGCATGAGCCCCACAGGACACACTCCGTGCAGCTTCCTGGGGAAAGGCCAGGCGAGAAGAACCGGGAGATGGGTTTTAACCCTTTTCTGTTGTGTGAAATGGGTCCTGAGATCATTCTCTGGACTCACATGAGGCTGTGCTAAACTTCCTAGATAGGTGGCCCAAATGGCACTCTATCAATTTACGTATCGTTTTGTTAGAGTGATTACTGTATCTTTTTGGTCCTTAAACTAAATTTTTCACTTCCTTCAAAGCTAAGATTAGGAATATATTCATAAATGATCTAAAATAAATTGCCACAATTTAGTAGAATTTTTTTTAAAGCAGTATTTATAATCTCTTTATGCAAGACAATAAATTGGCCAGAATTTCACAAATCTTAAAGCTAGCGTTTTACCAGTTTCTGGCATTAAATGCCAGGAACCCCCACCCTGGGTTTTCTCCAGAACTTTTCACCAGTTGAAAAGCTGATGTGCACCCAGCTCTCTCAGATCCAAAGTTATTGGGACCAAAAGGGTTTCCCGGAGCAATGGTCAGGAGACACCGCCCCCAGCCCCACACTTCAGGCCCTCCTGGGCTCTGGGCTCAAAGCAGAGCGGCTGCCTCCCCAAACCCACCTCACCTTCCGGGTGCCCCCAGGCAAGCAGCAGCCACAGAGAGCTGACACCAACCAACCACTGACAGGCACACACAGACCCAGGGTTAGAAAGTCCTTTGGAGAGACTCTCACATGTAAAGAGTGACCCAGAAAAAAGAAAAGCTAGGACACTGCAGGCTTGAGGACTAGTCAGCTTGCCATCAGATGCCTTGGGGACAAAGGAAAGGCATTGTGTTCGGAACCAGGGTTTCCGGCATGCTTTCTGCTATATTGTCAAGAGGGGCCCGAAGGAGCGGGGAGCCCAGCCAGCCTGTCATTGCCACCCTTGTGCAGTAGAACTGGAGGAAGCATTGCAGGGGTTCCTGGGCATGGCCTGGATTGTTTCCCATGGACACCCAGAGCGGCCCTTTCGGCTCTGGTTTCCAAAGCTGGGGACTTAGGCAAATTCATTTTGGTGAGAGTTCAATGGCCAGTCCCCACGCCGCGTGCCCAACGTTTCTGATATTTCCAGTGCTCTGTCTGTGGTCTTTGTCTTAGGAGTGTGGCCGGAAGGCTCGGACGGAACCGACATCAATGCCATCTGTCGGGCCCACGAGAAAAAACTCCTGTCCACCGGCGATGACTTCGGCAAAGTGCACCTCTTCTCTTACCCTTGCTCGCAGTTCAGGGTAAGGCTGCATCTTCCCAAACCTCACCCATCATGGGGATGCGTTCGCAGCCCTACCTGGCTCTTTGATAATCGAATAGAAAGGCGCTATGAGTGAATGCCACCAGTCACAAGTGCACACTTGACCCTGTCGACGCACTGCCCTAGAGGACTTCAGGGGCTCTCACTATCCTCCAGGGAAACCCTGACTGTAGGAAGCCCTTAGACCTGGCTCGTCTACCTCTGTCGCCTTCTAGATGGGCTCACTCCTTCCCCACCCACCACGTGTCCCCCACCCCCACCCCCCAGGCCTGCTGAGCTGAGCTGATGGCACCAGGGCCTGGCATGCCCTCCCTAGTCCTTCCCGTTTCTCACCCTCCTTCACCAGGACACCCCTCCCCCCCCCATCCCGGCAGCTGGTTGGTCTCCTCTTTGGTGCCCTGTGCCCCGTACAGTCCTCTGGGATTGAATGGTCCAGGACAGTCACTTGCCTGTCTGTGTCCCGACCAGATTCTCCATGTGCAGGGACTCCGTGTGGCTGTGTCCGGGTCCCTCCTGTGTCCAAGTTGCACAGATGAGAGATGCCACCGAGTGAGGGAAGAAGGAAGGAAGGGAGGAACGAATGTAGAATTCCAGCCGTTTCCGACTCCAAATAGTTAGCTTTGCATTTATCTCCCTCCATGTGTTTCTTCCCAGGCTCCCAGCCACGTGTACAGTGGGCACAGCAGTCACGTCACCAACGTCGACTTCCTCTGTGACGACAGCCACCTCATCTCCACGGGCGGCAAAGACACGAGCATCATGCAGTGGCGGGTCATTTAGAGCCGGCCCAGGAGGCACGGCCTCGGTCCCTCAGTCACTGTGATCTCTGTTTTGTTTGCAAAGTTGTCACAACCCTCAGGAAAATCAGTCCCTGTACCGGTTACCTTTGCTTCATGGGTCAGTGAGCGCCGCATCGGGTCAGCAGTTCAGGTTTCTCCGTGTACAATATATTAATATAAAACACATTTAATATAAAAACGATGCCAAGGTTTACATTGCGGTGACGCCGACAGAATAACTGGTGTATCCTTTATAACTTTTCTATGAACTCTTCGAAAATGGTCACAGAATGCCTTTCCAAATACTGTACATAGGCTGTACTCTTTCACTGTCGAGCTTGCTGAGTCGAATATTTATGACAATAATGAGGTACTGAATTATGATCGCTGTTGATTGGTTGGTTGGAAGGGATGAAGGGATGGAGCAGAGGAAATTGCTGACTTGCGCAGCTGAGTCAGGAAACGCAGATAGACTTCCTGTGGTCGTGGTGTCGAAGGTTCCATGCGGCTCTCCCTCTGGGAGGCTGAGGTGAAGGGGGTTGCACTCTTCTTGTGGTTAGCAGATTGGACTCCAGATTAACCTAAAGGTTTCAACGGGGGATACAGGCAGGTCAGAGTTTCAGCAGGCTGCCCGACCCGGTGGGCACCGTCCACCGCTTAGCACTCTGGTGGGTGGCGCCCCTTTCGGTTCCGCGCTCACGTGCCCTGGTGAGGGGTGGACACGTTTGGCCACCTGCCTCTGTATATTAACTGGCATGATATGGTATTGTACTTGTATAGAATTTTAGCAATTCATAATAAATATGTAAGGCTAGGCTTTACTATTTTATGCTTATGGACATTGTATATTTGTATTTTAAGACCAAGTAGACCAAGTCAAAAAGATACCATAAAACCTGCAGCGTGGAACAGTCTAGAAGGCTCCACCAGGTACTAAAGGCAGCAGCTTCTCTTCCTGTCTCGTGTGCCTGGACGGCTCGTTTTGCCAAGAAATACAAGTAAGGTTGCGTCCTGATGAGTAAAACGTAGGTGGCATACATTTGTCAAGAAGGCCTTATCCATTTTGATGGTGTGACAGATTGAAACGTATTGTTTACATTGGGGAATGTATCTCAAATTTTCAAACAGAAGAGTAATAAACAGACTTAAGAACAAATATTAAGATTTTTACTTGTTCTAGGCAAGTAAATGAATTGCACCACGTGAGCTCTGCAGCCGTGGTTTACAGTGGCCGGTTAATCGCGACATTGGAAGCAATTTTTAGAACATCTCCAGCCCACTGCGGATGTGCAGGGCACCAGTAAACTCTGTGTATCAAAGGTGAATCTGTTTGTATGTATCCTTATCAAATATATTCTGTAATGAAATAAAACCTGAAAAGTGGATTTCTTATTGACCTATAATCATGAAAGTATATAAATTAAAATATTTAAAATTAGCTATGATTCACACTATATTCTGTTTCATACACAGATTTCTTTTCTCACCTGGGAACTATAATTTGCATATGGTGTGTAAACATTCATCCGATTAGATAACTATAAGGAATTTAAGGAATTCTGCTTAATTACCATACCCAGTTGTTCGTTTACTTGGTTATGTAAATACTGGCAGAAATTAATAATTGGGGGAATAACCAGATCAGGGAAGGGAGAGGGGCCCATTATTGACTTACAAGATCTGCCTTTATATACTCCCACTATTTTTTAAGCTCAATAATGGGGAAAGGATATGTATAGAAGCCAATCTTACTATCTTCTTACTTGCCTACATTTAAATGAAATTCTTTAAACAGCCTGAGGGTGTTCATTATTTGCTCACTTGCTCATTAACAGCAAGCTAGGGCCTTGCACCACCATTCACCCCTGTGGGGCAAACAAGGCCTAGCACCTCCAGGATTCTGCTAGAGCGAGAGACCCCAGAGGCTGGGCAGCTTCTGGCCCACAGAGCCAGGCCTCTTCCTCCCAGTAGCCTGTTGCCTCATCAGCTCTTAGCCTGGCTGTGGAGAGTGACAGGGGAGGGGCTGTTTTCTTAATCTCCTTCTAACAGAGGGTTTCCAAGTAACTTTCGAAAGTGCCAAACACTACATACCATGTAGTATGTAGAGATTCGAGCGCAGGCTACCTGAACGGCCTTGCAAAGTTCTGTAATAAAGAGCCCTGTTTACGTTGGCATTTCCCAAAAGTGCCCAAACTTGACCCTTGGGCACTTTTGCTCCCAAGACGCTAATTGTTGGCCATGGATCAACAATCCATGGCATATCGTTCTGGGGAAACGCTGTGAAAGGGAGCTCGGAGACGGAATGAGTCTCCATTTCCTCCCCCTGCCCCCCCCCCGCCCCCCTTTTCCACTAGGAAGGGCTTCAGGCCAAATTCTGAATGTTGGAACGTTAGGGCTTTTCTTTAGACTATGTTCCACTTTCCTCGACAGCACTCCGCCTCACTGATACATAAAATATATAACCAAAGACCTTCAGGGCACAATGATGACATCCTGTGGCAATGAAACCAACCAGCCCCTGGACAAGGGCGGACCCAAAACCTTTCCCGCCCCCCCCCCTTGCTCCTTTTATTAGGTGAGTTGCCATGGTGATGGGAGGGGTAGGATGGGGGACGCTAGAAAAAAGAATTTGCTTATAACATTTCAGTTTCTAACATTTGGAGGCAATTTCTCCCTCCTTATCAGGCCTGAATGGGAAATTGCCAGACCCCCTGCCACAGCAAGGCTGACAGGACGAGGTCTGTGAGATTCAGCCATTTCTGAGATTCCTTTGGCCAGATGGGCGTCTGTGTCTTTTAGGTTACTCCTAGTACTCTCAGAGCAGTGACTATGGAAAGGAGAGTGGGCTAGGATAGTCACCACCCAGCGCACTGCCCACCCCCACACACACCCGTGGGACTGCACAGTGTTCCTGTTTTCATGTGGCTTATTTTGGTTTATTTTACTCTGATTCCCACAGAAGTGGCAGGTTTAGAAACCACAGCATCAGCTCATCACAAGCCATGGGAGAAGCCAGACAGCATCCCTGTGCTCCTGGCCTCAGGGGCCTCAGGTTGTCCAGTTCTCACCTTCAATCTTTGCAGGACCATGGCCTCGGGCCGATGTGAAGGCATTTTCAGAAACTCAAGACACTGCAGGAAAGGCTTTCCCCCTGTTCTGACATCTTCACCCCTGCGAGTCTCCTTCCCAGGCTCAGGCATCAGCCAGGAGTAGTGGAGGGAAAGGACCCAGCGTGCTCAGGACAGACAGACAGATCTGGAGACCAGGAGGGCAGCCAAGCAGCTACCCAACTCACCTCCCTCCAGGTTCTCTGGCGGACGCCCACAGCAGGGATGGTTCTCTGAACGCCTTGTAGAATGGTGGCACTGCAAGGGAACTTGGGGGTCGTCTTGGGGGAATATTACCCAGAGTGTGTTGCGTGGAACAGGATTTCACAGGGCGTTAAATAGGCCCTGGGTTTGGGAGCTGCTGAGTTTAACAGGTTTTAGCAGGGCTTTTCGTGTGGCTCTTAGAGTTTTAATACGTTAATGTGCGTTGCGAGTCCAGCAGGGCCATTGCCTCCATCCATCCATCTATCCATCCATCCATCCAATAAGCACCATTCCTTCCTCTGAGCGGGGCACCATCCTGTTACTGAGCTCAAGGGGTTTGCCACTCGGGGTGTTCTCTTCAAGAACGAGATGAGGTTGTCCTTAGGTAGTTTTAATATTTACTTGCAGCAAGTAAAGGAGACGGGGGTCACATCCAAAGCTCTGTCTCCCAGAAGGGAGGCTTAGCCATTGCTCATATACTCTATTTTGTTAATTACATGTAGATTTTTTTCTTTGCAGTTGGCTAAACTTATCCAGTTACAGCTGTTTCTGCAAAATACTGTGTGCTACGTTTAGCAAGAACAACATTTAATAAGAACCTCAGAGACCTTGAGACCCTTATCCTATGTAATAACCCTAAGACCAAAGATACCACTGTTCTTGCTGGAGATAGGCAGGGAGGGGCTGGTGGTGATGGAGGCTGCTTGAGCCTGGGTACATGGGGAATGTGGCTTTTGAGCAAAGAGTGGAGTGCCTGAGACTTGTGGCCGTCTGGGGGAGGCCTCCCGGCTGTAGAGCACACACAGGGAAGATTGTGAGTGCACAGGGTCCCCAAGGCTGTCTGAGCACGCAGCCTTTCCTTCCTGGGACATCTCTACAAAGCAGAATGTCCAGGAGCACAGGTTGGAGAAACACTGTTTTGTTCAGCCCTCTCTTTCTATAGACGTAGAAACCAAAGCCCCTGGAGAAACAGGCATTTGCCCAAGGTCACTGTGACCTTGGCAGGGACCGCCCCCGGCCACCCTACATTGTTTCTTTTTATAAAATAAAGTGTACTGGACTTTTTAATGATAAAACGAATACATACTCATTATAGCACATTCAGGAGGAAGCCCTGCCGTATCCGACCACCCAGAAATAAGACAATGACATCTTAGTGCGTTTCCTTCCTGCTCTGTTTTTTCTACAAGTACATTTTTGGATATATTTCCATAGTTGACATGTTGCATATACAATCCTTTATATTGCTTTTTTCATGTAACTTCATAAGCATTTTTCCATGTCATGATAATCTCGTTATAAATAACTTCTGTTGGCAGCATGACAGGCTCTTAGGATTCCTGTCATCACTCCTTGTCCAGTCCTCTCACGTTGATGATGATGGTAAGAAAAGAACCATACGGGCCACCCGACTGGGGGCCGTGGTCCACAATGTGCGCTCCTACCGCTCCGTCCCCCGACGTGTAAGCAAGCTCAGCTCTTTCCCATTAAAAAGAGAATGCCCCTGGTCTGTCGCTTACCTCTTGGTGCTCTGTAGGCCCTCTCCCAGGCCTCTGCTCTCCCCCCACCCATCCCTCCCTGGGCTATCTCATCAGTAACCAGGGTCTCGGTCACCTCTTCAATCCCGGTAAGGCCTAAACCCCTGTCTTTGACTCAGCTCCCTTAGCGTCACACCTGCCTGCGCCCTGGTACCTCAATCTTATGTCCCAAACCAAATGCATCTGCTTCTCCCCCAAACCCTGTATTCCGTCCTCCCAGTTGCCCAAGTCAGCAGTATGGGCATCCCTCCGGACCCCATTCTTTGACCCATTGCCAGTAATAGTAACAACTCCAATAGTGCTTATCCCATGCCAGGCACTGGAAGTGCCTTACACAATACGACTCCTTCCATGCTCTCAGCAACCCTATGAGGTGGCTTCTTGTCCACAATGACCTTTAACTTGCTCACTTAACTCGCTAAAGACCACACATCGAGGAAGTCGAGATTGGAACCCACAGAGTCAGGTTCCAGAGTTCAACTCACTGCACCATTCTGCCTCTCCACGACTCGAGGCTCTGCGTCCGCGTCATCTCCCAATGTGCGCTGCCTCTGGCATGGCCACCCGCCATCCCTGCTGGCCTGGCTGCAGCCGCGTTGGCCGTGCTCCACAGGTCTTGCCAGCGGGCAGAGTCAGCTTCCTAAATATGTCACTGTCTTGCTTAAAATCCTGCAGTGGCTCTTAGAGAAAGCGCCTTCATGAAGTGCACGGGGTCTGTTCGGTGGGCTCCTGTTCCTCTCCAACAGGCTCTCTGCTTTTCCTGCTATGCTGTCTGTCACCACCCAGGCCTTACACAGACTCTCACCCTTAGTATTCTTCCTCCCGTTTTCCCTTGCCAACTACCATAAATTGTATAACTCAGCTTAAAAGTTGCTTCCTCCAGGAAGCCTTCCCTGAGTGCCTAGTCAGGGTCCTGGGCCCTCTATGTGTCCCCGCACATTGTACTTTCCTTGTCACATGGAACTGTAAGCATCGGTTTACTTGCCTGTAGCCCTTATGTCCATAAGCTCCCTGGGGCATGAATGC